AATAATAGATAAAGTAATTTGGTTTAACTCTAAACCCATTATAACTCTCGTATGTAAATTAGATTGAATTCCTCATATAAGCGTTTTTATTGAATTTTCAAATCTTTTATCTAAAAGTACTACCAAAATTGGTATATCATGTCCTCTTCTAAATAGAGCTCTTGCCGTTGTCATAATCACTCCTACATGATTTTTCACTAGTTTTTTTAATGTACCTTTGACTCTATATTTTTAAATTTAGATATTTTATATATTTCATTTTTAGAATATGATTTTTATTTATTTTACTATCACATCTAAGAGATTTTTTTTTTCTTCTCCAATAATACTATCTAATTTTATGGCTTTTTGTTCATTATTTGGTATTTCTTCTAATTGATTATTAGAACTACTATCTAACATAAATATAAACTCATCATCATCACTATTAGCTTTTTTTTCTTATATTAATTTATATAATATTTCATTAAGATTTATTTCTTTTTTTTAACAAAACTTCGAACTCTTGTTCTTCAAATGTTTTAATCATCTTTTTTGCATTGTTGCCTTTTTTAAAGATAAATTGTTGCTATATGACATTCTCTATCACAAATAAAACTTATAAAATTTAATTTTTTATTCTTCAAACTTTTAAAAGTTTTTCTTCTAATAAATTTTCTTCTTCAGTTAATATTTGAATACTTATATTGTTTCCAAGATTTTCACCTAACCAACTTGTATTTTTTTTTATTTCTTTTATTTGAACGTATTTGTTCACATCTAAATTCTCATTCATTTTCTAAAATTTTTGTACAGTGTCTACTATTTAATTTTTTTCATTTTTAGTACTTTAGTTTGTAGACAATATTTAGTAATTCTTTCTCTAACTAAACTAATTCTATTTCCCATAGAATCTATTTATCTAATTTCAACACCTGATAATCTACTATATTTTTCAAGATAAATTTCATATTTGTTTATGCAAAGCTCATCTAAAGGCGATGATAATTTATGAACATATTGATTTTCTTAAAATTCTATTTTTTTATTTTTTATATTCATGAAGATTTTTTAAAAAATTCTTCAAAATATCTTATATCATATAATTTTATTTTTAATAAAGTATAGCTTGCTTAATTGTCTTGATCTTGTTTGTCTGTATATCCACAAAATTCTATTTTTATAATTTATGTTAATCATTTTAAAATATCTTTAGGCATTTGAATTTAGTTAATTAATCGCACTTTTCATTCCATACCTATTATTGATTCTTTCCATCTACAAAGAAATTGTAAAACATCACCTTGAAAAGTTCCTACAAAATCATTTAAATAAAAGTTGTCTAATTATTGTTGTTTACAACAATTGCCATAGATTGTGATTAATCATCTATTATTTTTTCATAGTCTGATATAGGAACATTAGTTAAGTCTAAATATACTCATCTTTTTGGAACATTTCTTTTATTAAGATTTTATGTACTTAAGGGATTAGTTGTGAAGTTTCTCTTGTGTGTTTAGTTTCAACTTCATTAATGTAGATATTTTCTACTTGTTCTCCCATTATTCTAGTCGTATTGTGGTCTTGTTTGTTATTTCGATTAAAAGACCTTAAACAATCATCTTCAAAAAGATCAAGATATAATTTTCTTTTTTCTTCTGGATCTTGATCCGGTTGATCAATTTCCATAAGTTCTAGAATATTAGTATTTTCTTCTGTTGAAGAATCTTTCTCTTCATCAGATGAATCTGAAGCACTTATAGCTTCTATTTCTTATGAATTAGAACAACTACTACTATTTTATGTAGTATCATAATTTAACATATAATGATAATTAAATAAAACAAATAATTCTTTATGTTCTTCCTAAAGTTTTCTATTAATTTTAAATATTTAATATTTTTTATTTTATCTTTGGTTGTGGAAAATTTTAATTTTCAGTATTCCATGACGGAAATTAAGCCACACGCTTCGAAACCAAATTAAAAGCATTAAAGAAACAACCATGTAATTGAAAGACAATTAATCTGATCGATATCATCACTCAAACGTCGATTGGAACAAAGATCTTAACTGAATTAATTGAGCGATAAAAGTCACATTCGATCAAGCAAATTAACCTCAAATGGAAAACATTAAACCATTAATTATGCAAACCCCAAAAACATACAGATATACAAAGAAAATAGTTTCGTCCCTGTTACCTTATTCAAATCTAGAAATTCGCCATCGAACGTTCGCTCGCCCAAGATTTGAAGATTCGTTTGCCATTTTGATGCTTTGACGTTATACTTCCCTTGATTCAAGGAGCTCTTTCTCTTCTCTTTCCGTAGGTTCCTTTTCGTCTCCAAGAATTTTTCCCCCTTTACAAGGTGTGAAGATGGGTTTAAATAGGGATGTATGAGAAATGATGGTGAGAGTCCAAATTTTATGGGACTCTTGAGGAAGTTGAGTTGTAGTGAGATGGTGGGTTTCATGGGATAAGGTTGTTAGTTTAAAAGATATGGTGGTGGAAGAGTCCTCCTAGGAGAAGCTCTTAATAGTTTTTTTTATGTCTATTTTTTGGAGAAAAAAAGCAAATAATAATAAAAATATATAGACGAAAATGAGTGTCTACAGCTGCCCCTCTTTGTCCTTTTTCATGGAACAAAAAAATAGGACAAAGATAAAAAGACACAAATTTTCGTTCGGTGGAGTTTAAAATTGACTCTGATATTTCAATTAAGAATAACTCCCTGTCGAATTGAGTTGCGGATGGCTCCTCCGTCATGAAGTTGAGTCCATCTGAAAATGATTGGAATTGAAGCCATAATTCAGGATTTGAATCGAATTGTGGCTTCTCGTTGCCAAAATATAATCAACTTCAGTCTTCTTCTCGGTTTAAAGGTCTTGGTTAAAAAAATCGGCTAGAAATAGTTTCTTGATGTGTCATCGAGCTGAATGGAATCAAACTCAAAATTTGGCTGACAGATAGTCCTTCTTGCCTTGAGCTATTCTTTAAATGATGTACCTTCGGGCTGAGTGGAATCGAACTCGAAGGTCTTTAGCAGATAGCCCTTCTCGACTTAAGCCATGCTGCAAATGATGGTGCCTTTGAGCTGAGTGTAATCGAACTCGAGGGTCTTTGGCAGATAGCCCTTCTCGACTTAAGCTATGCTGCAAATGATGTGCCTTGGAGCTGAGCGTAGTCGAACTCGAAGGTCTTTGGTTGGTAGATAACCCTTCTCGATATGCTGCAAATGATATGTCTTAGAGCTGAACATAGTCGAACTCGAACGTCTTTTGGTGACATATAACCCTTCTAGCCTTGAGTTATGCTGTAAATGATGTGCCCTAGAAGCTGAGTGTAATCGAACTCGAGGGTCTTTGGCAGATAACCCTTCTCGACTTAAGCTATGTTACAAATGATATGCCTTGGAGCTGAGCGTAGTCGAACTCGAAGGTCTTTTGGTCGCAGATAACCCTTCTAACATTGAGTTATGCTGTAAATGATGGGCCCTCGAAGCTGAGTGTAATCGAACTCGAGGGTCTTTGGAAAATGGCCCTTCTCGACTTAAGCTATGCTGCAAATGATGTGCCTTGGAGCTGAGCGTAGTCGAACTCGAAGGTCTTTGGTTGGCAGATAACCCTTATCGACTTAAGTTATGCTGCAAATGATATGCCTTGGAGTTGAGCGTAGTCAAACTCGAAGGTCTTTTGGTGACATATAACCCTTCTAGCCTTGAGTTATGCTATAAATAATGTGCCCTCGAAGCTGAGTGTAATCAAACTCGAGGGTCTTTGGCAGATAGCCACATGGATCTAAAAGAGCCACTTTAGATTTATGGAAAGAGTTTGGGCCAAAAGATAAATTTTGATAAATCTAGAACTTTCGTTAGCACAAACGTCATTGATGCCAATATGAGTGATGTTCGAAGGATTCTAGAGGTTGCCAATACATCAAATCCTGAAAAATACCTGAGATTGTTGAGCTTAGTAGGAAAAAACAAGAAGCAAGCTTTTCTATCGATGAAAGAAAAGTTTTGGGCTCGAATTCACTCGTGGAGTACTCGACCGCTGTCACAAGGTGGTAAAGAGATTTTTATAAAATCTGTACTGTAGGCACTACCACTCTACACAATGAATTGTTTCTTACTTCCAAAAAACATTATGTGAAGAGTTCAAAAGAATCATGGAACATTTTCAGTGGCAAAGAAACGAGAAGAAAAAAATGGATCCATTGGTGTCACTGAGAGGCCCTTTGCATATCAAAAGATGAAGGAGGAATTGGATTTCGGGATTTCTCAAAATTCAATATAGCCTTTTTAGCAAAACAAGGATGGAGACTTATAAACCAACCCATATCACTGGTGAGTAGATTGCTAAGAGCTAAATATTACCACTCAACAGACTTTCTTGGGGCAAAACTAGGATCAACCATCTTATGTTTGGAGGAGTATATGGAGTACACGAGGTCTACTAAAAGAATAAATGAGATGGAAAGTGGGTAATGGAGAGAGCATAGGAATTTGGAATGACTTTTGGCTGCCACAATCACCACCAAAACGGTTAACCAGTCAAAGAATTGGAGAAGCAGAAAAAGTTGTTGATTTAATAAACCCAAGTACGAAGTAGTGGAGGGAAGAGTTGATTGACCATATGTTTACTGCAGAGGAAGTTGAAGCGATAAAAGCCATCCCAATCTCGAGAACAGGTCAAAGTGATATAAAGGTTTGGAGCGGGGAAAGATCAGGACTATATACGGTACAAAGCAGATACAAACCATTGTTAGTGGACGAGGAGATATCAAACTCGGACCAGAACCTTTTCAAATGTATTTGGAATTTTGAGTGTCAACAGAAAATTAGAATCCAGGTCCGGAAGTTGTCATGATTTTGTACCCACAAATCACTTGCTCTACAACAAGCGCATAGAAAATAATCCATTGTGTCATACTTGCCCAAATCAAATTGAAACTAGTTTACATGCTACAAAGGAATGCAATTTAGCCAGAACAGTATGGTCTGAACTACATTACCAGTGGCCCAGTCAAAGTTCACATTGGAATTTTAAAGATGGCTAAGATGGGCATTAGAGAATTTTACAAGTGAAAAACATGCATAGATACTTGTAAGTATTTGGGCATTATGGTTTGCTCGAAACAAAAGGATACATGAAGGAAAAACTACAAGCAGAGATGAACTCATCACCGTCATCAAAGGCCAGCGCAAAGATTTTACCTTGGCAAATTCCAGATTAAATGGCCCCCAACACAGGATTGTCGAGAAATGGACTCCACCTCCACCCAACATAGTCAAGGTAAACTACGATGCAAGTTTCAATCAGAATGAAAACAAAGCAAGGTCAGGAATCATAATGAGAAACAACGAAGGCTTGGAAAGGGAGCGTGCATACGACTAACCTCACAGGTCTCATAGGCATTTGCAACTGAAGTAGTGGCTGCAATCCATGGTATTCAATTCGTAATCGACCTAGGCTTTGATTAAATGATACTGGAAGGTGATTCTCGAACGGTGACACTGAAACTAAAGACAACAACACCAGATTACTCGGAAATAAGTGCCCTGGTATGGGAAGCACAACATCGAGCTCAACAGCTTACCTCATGTGAGTTCAATTTTATTCCCAGATAAGGAAACAAAGCAGCTCATATTCTAGCCACAGACTCGTTCATAGGAAGTGGAGATGTGTTTTGGGTAGAAGAAATTCCAAATCAAGCAGCGAATCAAGCGGCAACAGATAGACGGTGGATTGACCCGCCATAGCTACCGACCATTATAAAGAATCAAGAGTAGATAGCTCCATCAATGTGTTTACATCTTCTTTGCGCTACCATCACAGAAGGAAATCAGACGAGAGAGGCAAAGTAACCGATACAAGTAAGCTTGCAAGAAATGGGATAATCCATTTTCTATCACTAAACACCCTTCCAGAGTGCGAATTGATGTTTTTCCTCACACTTGTCAATGGATTTTGTATCAACACAAGTTTCCTATAAAGCTTTCTCATTGTCGGTAATAAAAAGACAAACTTTCCAGGCCTCTAGATTAAGCTAAAGAACCCAATAAAGTTGAAGAATCAAGCAAAAAAACCAACCAATATTACTAGGAAATATGAATTAAAAGATGCAGGGAGGACCGGAAAAAGTACCAAACCGCCTTGTTAAATGTATGGGGAACATTTAATCTGAAACCAAGTTCTCTTCAAGAGAAAACATAGGTTCCAAGCAAATTGATCATTACTTTGACACTATCAATGGAGAAAACATGGGCTTGGCCAACTGGAAAAATAACAAAACAAATCAGGAGGATAAATTCAACAGGAAACAGTAACCGACACTATCAATGGAGAAATATATGCTAGTGGGGAGAAGAAAGAGAGTGGAGAAGAAATCTTATCAGGAATCTCACAGGAAACAATGATTTTTTTCGCAGCACGGCAGAGAAGAAGATATCGCACAGAAGCAAGCTGAAAAAGAGGGGTATTTTATCCCTTAGCACGGGAATAAAATAAAACCTAATACACATGTGGAAATAACATTCCCAGGAATAAAACATCAAAATGTATTGTTGGTATTATAACATTACCCTCACTTGAGTATCATACCCAACCAAACATGAATATCCTTCATCAGGAAACAAATATACCTGCTAAGAATGCTAAATTCCTTAATCTCTTAGAGTCTTGTCTTCCATTTAATTCTCTCCCTCCCCCTTTCTTTTTCTATTTCATCTATAATATCTTCCTATTGTTTGCCCCTTTTAATTTTGACCATCTATAATAATAATATAATAAATAAAATAATTATTTAATATTTACTGATGATTTTTATAAACATTTCTAACTTTATTTTAGTTAATATATTTCAGTCTATTAATAACAAATGCACATCTTAAAATGTATCCATTTAAATTCAAATTCTATAAAAAGAATAATATTTCATTTATCATTCAATAATTTTTAATTATTTAAATAGATGATGATAGACTAAAATAAGAAAAAGTTCTTAGTTAATGTACCAAATAATAATTTTATAGTATATTTAACAATTTATTTGTGAGTTTTCTTCACAAAAACTTTTTGAGATATACAATATCATTTTTTTCATAACCTTTTTTATAAATTATTTTATTATGATTTTAAAATCTTATTATTTACATATTTTTTTACTTTTCTTATTTTACTAGTTTTAATTCGAAATATAATGTTAAAAGAGAATTAATTTATTATAATTAATTCTCTCACAAAAGTTTTACTACAATTGATCAAGTTAATCAAATTACATTAATGAATTTCTTTTCATTTGGGGAGCAACGAGAGACTAGCCAATTGATCAATAAAGTTACATTAATGAAATTCTTTACTGCATTAATCAGGTTTATCGTATATCATATTTATTTTTATAATTAATTTAAAAAATAAAACATAATCATTGAACTTGATTCATGAAAATATTTAAAATAAATATTAAATTATATCTTAAAATCAAGTTCAAATATCAAAATATATATTAATTTAAAGATATATGTATAAATTCTCTTTTAAAAATTCAAATATCTATAATCATAATTATAAATAATACTACAATAAACAATTTTTTTATAGAAAGCCGCTAGTTTTACTAAAAATAGAAAATATCCAAAATTATAATGAAGATTTACGAGCATAAACATAAACTAAATTATAATTAGACCATTTTCCTATAACAATCAACACAAAAACTAGCCACCTATATCACACAAGGACCATAAAAGGGAAAAGACAAAAAAAATCTAACAGATGCTCGAATAAAATAAATATACAAAGAAATCTGACTGCATCAGCAAACGAACCACAAAAGGAGATGAAACTACTTAAAGATCACCGACAAATCGCAAATCAGAATCAAGCAACGTGAGAAAACTATCCATGAGCGCAAAACGCGTATCCAAATCAATTCGAGGGTCCAAAGTAGGAAGATCAATAGGATAACAAATAAACGTCATCTTCATCAGTCGTGGTGATGTTAACTCCAACCCCGTGAAAAAAGATAAACGAAAAAAAGGTAAAAAACCGTAAGCTAACAAAAGGCAGAGAAAAACATGCTACAATAGCATAGATAAACGTATCATAAAGACAGAGAACATGTCACAAAGACATAATTATTCTTATTAAAAAAACTAAAAAAAAAAAGAAAAAAGATAAACGGCGGGCGGCAAACGACATCAAAACTGATGTCGCCGCCGATTCAACAAAATTAAAGAAGAAAAAATTGGATTGATCAATAAAATTATAAAAGGTGTCCAATATATGCCTGTTTTTCTAGTTCGCATGCATTTATTCAGAGAGAAAAATAAATTAAAAACTAGAGTTTATTTATCCTTTGTGTATACCTAATGACAAAATTTCGGCATGGTTTCAGATCGGGAGAGTTTCTAGGGTTTATTATATGCAGGTTTTTGGTTCTAAGGGTAAAGGTACTCGAACTGTCCTTGTCGGTGCCCCTTGGGCTGCCAAACCCTCAATCCTAGTCCATTACAGACTTAAGCAGATCGAGTTCAATTCGAGGGGATACATTTCCCTATGCCTGACACGGAGAATAAATTCTCACGAAGACATAGAGCATATGAACCCCGAAAGCTACTTGCTAGGTCTGACACGGAGAATAAATTCTCACGAAGACGTCGCTTCCACTCCCACTTAAAAGGGATAAATCTCAGTTATAGAGATTACGTTTATGCAATGCAAGTGTTGTGTGCGAGGAGAAATATTCAAACCTCTGACAGACAATAAATAATAAAATTTAATACTTGAAAAATAAAATAAAACAATAATAAAATAATATAAATATTATGAAATATATATATATATATATATAAATTTTGAAAAGAAATAATTAAAAATTAAATATATGAATTTTTAATTTTCTAATTGATAGAGACAATTAATAATTGGTTTTAGAGTTTGACCAATCCCCAGCGGAGTCGCCAAGCTGTCGTAACCGTTTTTCGTCCGGGTACGAATTTTTACTCGGCGGGAATAGTGATGTGAATAAATGGTTTTTTTAAATAATTCGGAGTCGCTATCGGCCTTTTGGTTCAGGTAGGTCGAATACCTAAAAATCATCTTTTAAAAGAGTTTTTAAGAAAACATCGATTAAAAGATAAACTGATATGCGTTTAACTAAAAATTCATTCTTTTTAGAAATAAAAAGAGATTTGTGGTCGGCTACGTTTAGGGAAGGATTAGCACCCCTACAACGCCCAAAATTGGTACTTTTTTAATTATAAATTGTCTCTATTATTGGAAATTTAAAAAATTCAAAAATATATTTAATTTATAATCCTATTATTTCAAAGTTATAATTATATAAAAATATATTTATATATAAAATATAAATAAAATATTTATTTATTTAAAAATATCAGAAAAGGACTTCTAGGTGCCTTAAGACAGCTCTTTTCTTTGATATTAAAAAATAAATAAATAATTAAAACATTTTTCTAAAAATAATAATAATATATAATTAAAAAAATAGGATATTTATTTATTTAAAAATATCAGAAAATGGACATCCAGTTGTTTTAAGACTGTCCTTTCTTAATATTGAAAAATAAATAAATATCAAAATATGATTATTTTTCTTAAAAGTAATTTATATAAAATTAAATTTATAAATAGGATTTTTATTTAATAAACAAATAGAATAAATAAATAAATATTATATATATAATATAATCATGAAAATAATAATTTAAACATATATCAAAAGTAATAATAAAATAAAATAATAATAATTAAAATGAAAGAAATTAAAGGAAATAATATTAAAATGCAAAATATATTAAATAAAAAATCAAACTATTAGGGACTAAAATATAAAATATATAAATTAATGGCCCTTGTTCAAAGTATTATAAAAATATAATTACTAATAATATAATTAACCTTAATTATTTAAACAACGATTAAAATGAAATTTATCAAAGTTAAAGGCTCTAACTCGAATAAATAAATAAATCTAGTACTACTAATGTAATTTAGCATTATTTAATTAATTAGGGTTAAAATATAAATTATAAAAATTATGAAGGACTAAATAATGCATTTAACCTAAATATATATAAGTATACTGACTAGAACTAAAATAAAAATAAGATAGAATTAAAAGACCGAATCAGAATACTCATAAATTTGATTTAGTGACTAAAATGGAAGTTTACACACCTAAAGGGTCGCAGAAATGATTTTACCAAAAAGGAAATTACAAAGACACCCCTCCCCCAAAACGACGTCGTATGGGGGAAGGTTTTTAAACCCATAAACCGGGCATTTTAGGCCAAATTTCCATTTCATTTTTTTCTTCTCTCTCTAGGAGAGATTTCCTCTCCCTTCTCTCTAAGTTTCCTTCATCTGAGGGAAACCAGTCGCTGGCCGACAGCCACGATCCGGCGTCGACTGCCATCGCCGGCCACTGTTCACGGTGGCCAGAGTTTGAAAAATTACACCAAATGCTTCCTTTTTAAAACCTAGTGTCGAATCCAACCCTTACTCTCCCTAAAAGCTCTTAAATCGCCTTAGATCTAAGAAAAACCGAAGCTTTTACCATGGTTAGGATCTCGTCTCCGACGATGGTTTGAGAGCTCTCCTTGGTGGTAAGTTTCTCCCCCCGTTCCTTTTCTCTTTTCTTTCGTTTTGATGTCGTGGGTTGTTAGGGTTACCCTCAGTTCTTGCTTGCTCGTTGTTGGTGTTGTTGTCCCCTTGCTTTCGGGTTCTTCGTTTCTTTTTTCTCTCTTCTTCTTCTTTTTGCAGGATCCGATGGCTTTTATAGCCACCACGGAGCCATGCTCGGACCGGTCCAGAGGGGGAAGTTCGGTGAGTCACCGAGCTATGTGGTGACTCACCCCATAGCCGCGACGTGTGGGGGGCAGCTGGCAGTGGAAACGTCAACAGCGGCGGCTGGATGTGGAGGCGACGCCTCGTGGAGGTGACGCCTCGTGGATGTTCTGGAAACTTGGAGGCGGCTGGGGGCTAGGGTTTGAAACCCTAGCATGAATGATACAAACCCTAAAGAGTTTGGGTTGTCTGTTTGGGCCTGGATTGGTCTGGGCCTCCAAGATTTGTAAAACGGGCCTCCGGGTCTTGAGCTTAATAATAATAATAATAATAATAATAATAATAATAATAATAATAATAATATAATAATTTTAAAAAATAAAATGAAAAAATCAATGTCTACAATTTAAATTATCATGTATTATTTTAATTTTAATTAATATTAAATTTTACATAATTTATGGTAAAAATATATTAATGTTTACATTGTGAAAACTAGCTTCAGTTCATATGTGACGCATTCACTGGGAGATTTCTTGTATTTTTCAATCGACAAGGTTTACATTCTTCTATATACAATAATTTATCATAGATATTCATAATAATAAAAAGATGTAAATTATTTTTGTTATCTAAGATATAATATTATTATATGTTCTATATACAATAATTTATTTATTTATCTTTTATATTTATACTTAATTATGTATATTTTATCATTATTATTTATCTCATGAATTTATATTACAAAAACATTATTCAAAAATATAATCCAAACGGGCTCTTAGAGTCTTGTCTTCCATTTATAAACGTATACAGAGAACATGTCACAAAGACATAATTATTCTTATTAAAAAAATTAAAAAAAGAAGAAAAAAACCGACGGACGGTAACCGACATCAAAACTGGTGCCGCAGCTGATTTAACAAAATTAAAGAAGAAAAAGTTGGATTGATCAAAAAAATTATAAAAGGTGCCCAACATATGTCTGTTTTTCTAGTTCAGTGACTAAAGTTTTTTTCGTTCTAGTTTGATGCATAACGTTACATTCCGTAACTCATAATGGATCACGCCGTGACAGACCGTTAAATTTAGACGTTAACCTATTAAAAATGCCACGTGACATATTTTTTTAATATTAAAAAATAATTTTTACAAATAAAAAAATTAAAATGAAAAAAATGTTTTAATTGGGGAAAGGCTGGTCGAAGGAACCAAAACCCCCCTTCCCCCCATTTTCTGGTCGCCCTCCGATCACTTATCGACTAAAATATCATCGAACACTTTATTGTCTGCCAAAACCGTTGAACTATCATCAAAGAGTGGCAATACCGGAACCTGATCATTGAAGAACCCATCGAGGAAAGGGAAATCGAGAGGCAAATAATCTCCAAAATCACTGGTTGCCGGTTCTTGAACTGGCGGCAACGGCTTACTTTATTCCTCTTGGAGTTCATGACCTAGTCTTTCATGTTCGACCGATGTTTCTTCTTCACTCGATTGAGTTTGAAAGTTGAAGACTGAAGTTGGAGACGAAAGATTGCGAGGTGAATCTTCTCCCGATTGGTACCCGGAAACCGATGACTTGTCGATGTTTTCTGGTTTGCCGGTATAATATTCAACCAGAGTAGTGATGAAGTTTGTTAAAGCGTTGGGTCCTCGGAGCATGATTGCTGCATTATCGTAAACCAAGGCAGCTTCTTCAGAAGTGTTGTAAGTACCCAACCACAGTCGTACGCGACGAGGGGGGTCTCGAATCTCCGCCGCCCATTTTCCCCACGGTCGTTGTCGTACACCTCTGAACTTCCTTCCGTTCCCGTTCCCATTCCCGTTCCCGTTCGATGAAGAAAGCTTGAGTGGTCTACGGTTGGGCTCCGAGACGTCGGCACCGGCGGCTTTCCTTTTTCGGGTATTACCGGGAACGGTTGTTTTGGAAGCGGCGGAGTGGATGCTGGTCTCGTTGATATATCGTTTCGCTCTCCACCGGTGACAATAAAAATCGGCTTCGTCGTCCCTGGAAGGGTCCGTTGCGTCAGGGTGGGCTTCAAAGATTGATTATTTTTTATTTGTAAAATTATTTTTTAATATTAAAAAATATGTCACCTGACATTTTTTATGGGTTAATGGTTAAACTTAATGATCCGTCACTGCGTGACACATTCTGAATTACGAAATATAACGCTAATACCAAATTAAAACAAAAAAACCCCTTAGATATTGAACTGTAAAAATAAACATACATTGGACACCATTTGTATATTAAAATTTTTTTACTACGCTAAACAATTATAACTAAAGATAAATATTGTAAAACATAATCCTGATTGAAGAATAAACATGAATAATTTTAATTGCATTTCACACATAGTTTACCAACGACTAAAATTTATTATTTAACACAAAACTTCCTTAATTTGAATTTATTGTCCAAAATTATGGTATTCTTTTTACTTGTCGTGTCCAACTCTCTACATTGAAGGATGTCAACAATCATCGCATGGCATCAATTGACTTTTTTCTCAAACAATAAATATTTAATTAAATACCAAACCAATAAAAATTGTAATTTTAAATATATATTTTTTATTTCAGTTAGGTATTTAAATTTGACTTTTAAAGTTTAATATAGTATAAAGTTTTTTTTTCAACTAGGTATCTAAATTTGACTTTTTAGTTTAGATTAATAGCTGAGTTTTACTTTTTTTTATTTGAATTAGTACTTGAGATAGATGATCAAATTCGATATCAAATTGAACCTAAAAATCAATTTTAAGGGATCAAAAATATTTGAACACTAAATTAAACTTTGATGCCAAATTTACGTATATAATTAGACAAAATAAAGTTAAGCAACCAAATTATAAGATGAGCCAAGTTTAAGTATTAAAATACATATTTACCCTAAAAAACTAAAATATAAAGAAGCAGTGTTGTTTCATGCCGCTTGGGGTCCCTCTAGTATTCTGTCTCCTTTTTTGTGCTATAGTTTGTTACCTTAGATAAGAAAAAAAGGTGTTGGATCGGATTTGGATATATAAAGAAACCATGCTCATCTCCATGCTCCATCTTCCTTAACTCCCTCCATTTTTACCATCACCATCACCTTGCAGCCCTAGTCAGAATCATCCTTACCCTAAAAAGGCACATTCCCTTTGATCCCCAACACTTCCTCTTTCTTCCCAAGAACTCTATATATTGTTCTTTTCATTTGTTTCATTCATGAAAGACGACAACACTGCAACAGGTAAACTAACCCAAAACCAGCAACACCAGATGTGCAGAACCACCGGTGTTGTTTCCTCGGTTGGCCAAGTCGACGACATGTCGCCGCCGGCCATGTCTCCGGAGGTGGTCCCTTCCAACGCCGGGGATGAACTCAAGTTGATCCCTCCTTTGAACTTCGCTATGGTTGACAATGGCATTTTCAGGTCCGGCTTCCCTGATTCAGCCAACTTCTCTTTTCTCCAAACGCTTCGTCTCCGGTCCATCGTGTAAGTCCAAAGTTTGTTGCTTTAATGCTTTTTTATCAGCAAATTTTTGTACTTTGAGTTAAAGGGTCTTTTTGAATGTTAGATATCTGTGTCCTGAGCCATACCCAGAAGCCAACAATGAATTTTTTAAGGCCAATGGAATCAGGCTGTTTCAGTTTGGAATTGAAGGTTACAAGGTGAACTTTTTCCCTTTCAAACTTGCCTACTTTTATTAACCAGTTCAGCTTCTTAAAATTTGCTTTGCTATTTTTGTTTTGACAATTGAGATCAAATGTGATTGTCCCATTTCGTTTTGTTTCCAGTCCCTATAATTTGATGATGAACTTCACCGTATATATAAATTTCAACTTCAAAGAAAAGTAATGATGAAGCTGAAATTGAAACTTGAATTATCTTTTGAGGTAGGAATTTACGGGGGAATTTTTCAAATAATCCCAAAATTTAGATGAGGGAGAAGAAATTAGCTTATTCACTCTTATTCTCTAATTCTTTTTTCCATTTCCATCTTGATTAAGGTAAGGATGGATCTAGGGGTTGGTGGGACGGTTGCCCTTGAAAATTTCAAATTCTCATATATTTTCTTTATATTTTCTATTGATAATTTTTTTCTGTCCTCTAATATTTTATAAATTCATATCTAGCATAAAATCATGTGTCCTTGAGTCTGTCCCTGCTCTTAATCATGATTTCGGTGTTGGTGATTCGTTCGAGCATAGGGCAGCAGTTGTAGTTTGCTTTAATAAATGGATCTTAAAAATCCTGCTCCGATATAGTAGGTAATGATGTATTCGCTTGTTCTGTTGGTTTCATCACAGTAACTACAATGAAGCTGTCTTGCTCGGAGAGTAATATTAAATAAACTGCCTCGAACGTATGTTCGATTTCGGTGCGACAATTTAATATTCGATGTCTGATGTTCATGTCTAATGTCTTGTAGGTTTTTTGTTATACTTCTTCCTTTCTTTGAGCTTCTGAAGTAATCCGTAGCTGAATTTGGGATCATTTTCACAATTGGGATGTCATTTATCTTGTGTTCACCATCAATTAGACATTGAAAAGCCTCGGTTCATGCATGATATACGTACTATGAAATGATGTCTTACTATAGAAACTAATATACACATTTCATCCAGGAGCCATTTGTAAATATCCCACAGGATACAATCCGCGAAGCTCTAAAGGCTGTCCTTGGTACTACAAGCTTTTAACACTTGATCCGAACATGGCTGATTATTTTTCAAGAATTTAACTTTATCTGTCTGAATTGCAGATGTAAGGAATCACCCGGTTCTAGTTCACTGCAAACGAGGGAAGGTATATGCACGTTGCGTTTTCTTTTTCGTATCAGAGTATGCGAAAGTGAGTACCTTCTTAGTTTGATAACGTTGCTATGTTCTTGTATTTCCAGCACCGAACTGGCTGTCTTGTGGGATGCTTGAGAAAACTGCAAAGGTGGTGTTTGTCATCAGTCTCTGATGAGTACCAAAGGTTTGCCGCTGCAAAAGCTAGAGTTTCTGATCAGATGTTCATGGAGTTGTTCGATACTTCTAGCCTGAAGCCTCTGTCGATGTCGTTTTCTTGCTCAAAGAAGTGAAGAACCACATCAATTGAACAGAAAAGAAGAATGTTACACTTCCTGCATTGATATAATTAGGAATAGGTAACGAGTTCTCTGAATTGCAATAAAAGGCGCACGTAGAAGCAATGTCCCGGAATGATCTTTGGCGTGGAGTTCTCCTTCCCGCTTCTTTCTTCATGTTCATCTAGTTGTCCTCTACTTGTTTTACTTTGAAAGCCATTGTTAGCTTTGTTTAAGGTTTCGAGATGAGTTTTTACAGTGAACAAGAATCAAAGATTTACAGCTATTCTTCTTGTCAAGCTTCTTTTGCAGATAGTTATAGGCAAGGCAGCTAGAGTTCAGGCAATGTAAACACATGATTGTATTTGGCTACTTAACTATCAATATTCATATACAAAACAGCTCTTCTTTGGAAACATTTCGTTTTGCAGAGTTACCTGTTTGTTTAATCTTTTAGACCCCATTAATGCTGTAAATTTATGTTTTAAACATTATGCAAAATTGGTTACAGAATGACCCAAAAAAATGACGAGGATCGTGATGATATGGTAAGTTAAAATGATCAAATTTTTGTCTTTAATTATGAAAACAATGGACTATTTACAGCATACTGCAAGCATTTCATCAAACCAAAGCGTTGAGTACAACGGCTGTTGCAATTATGTTAGGGAATTTACCTGTTTTGTCCACCCTTCAAACCTTGGCCTTTCGAACCATCGATGTCCAATCTATTGATTTGGTGACAACTATGACAGATAGGGTTTTTTGTCACTGTTTGGCCTTATTACTGACGGCGACGGCGGTGTGGATCTCCGATGATGACGACGGGGTGCTCACGAGGTTGAGAAATTGAAAATCAGCTCGTGCATCCCACGCGCGAGATCGGAAGGCCTAACTTCTTGTCGGCGGCGGCTGGTTAGAAACTAGAGTTTTGAAACCCTAGTTGAATCGGGTCGGGTCAGCTATAACCGGGTCGGGTCTTGGTCTTCGAGTCTGCTGGTTGTAATCGGGTCTGGGTCTGTTGGGTTGAGTAATTTGGGCTTTGTTGGATCTGTAAAAAAAATAAAAATATTATTAATATAACAATAATAATATAATAATAGAAACGTTGGGATGAAACCACTGTCGACACATACCATCGACACCTTTGAAAAAAGAAACCAATAACTTAGTCTTACATAAAGATAAGAGTTCAAAATAAAGTGATTGGATTGAAATATTTCATTTAAAGTTGAAGACTCTTTATAAAGGTCAATATCGTGATATAAAGAGAAAGGCATCCACATTCCTATAGAATGGTCCTTTCTGATTAAAGTCCATGCTCTTGAGATATATGTGAACCATCAAAACTTGTATTCTGAAAAAAAGTCTTATACGAATTTGTCAACTTTAACAAGCAACCGTTAAAATTGAACTCAACTCGTATTATAGAAAATTTACGACTCAAATAGGGATTTTTTTTTGGATGTGATGTTATTTTTTAAAAGTTTGAAGATTTAAAAAAATTATATATGTATAAAATTAGTGGTTAAAATAATAAAATATTTGGCGTTTAGAAACATAAATAAAATTCACATGGAGATTAAAAAATAAAAACCATGGAAAATTTGACCTAAAATTAAGAAAACGAAAGAAGAGAAAGGGCGAAGTGCTTTGGTGGCAAAGAGGTGGTACAAAAAATATTTGGCATTAGAACACTAATTATTCCCTTTTCGTCTCTCTCTATAAAGGCTCAAAGCATATTCTTTAGGGTGTGTTTGGTTCACCGAATATAAGATTACCAATGGAAATAAAAGATTACCAGATAATAGGATTACTGGGAATGTTACATTACTGTGTTTGGTTGGTTTGGCAGGAATGTAAGATTATCGTGTTTAGTTGAAGGGATAAAAGATTACTGGAATGTATATTTTACCAAATTATCCTTGTTCTATATTTTTAACAAGTAAAATTCTAAATATTTAAATAAAAATTATTATTTATATAAAAATTATATCTGTTGATAATATATTACTTGAGTATTTAAATTATCATGTATTATTTTAATTTTAATTAATATTAAATTTTACATAATTTATGGTAAAAATATATTAATGTTTACATTGTGAAAACTAGCTTCAGTTTATATGTGTCGTATTCACTGTGAGGTTTTTTGTATTTTTCAATCGACAAGGTTTACATTCTTCTATATACAATAATTTATCATAGATATTCATAATAATAAAAAGATGTAAATTATTTTTGTTATCTAAGATATAGTATTTATTATATGTTCTATATACAATAATTTATTTATTTATCTTTTATATTTATACTTAATTATGTATACTTTATCATTATTATTTATCTCATGAATTTATATTACAAAAACATAATTCAAAAATATAATCCAAACGGGCTCTTAGAGTCTTGTCTTCCATTTATAAACGTATACAGAGAACATGTCACAAAGACATAATTATTCTTATTAAAAAAATTTAAAAAAAGAAGAAAAAAACCGGCGGGCGGCAACCGACATCAAAACTGGTGCCGCCGCCGGTTCAACAAAATTAAAGAAGAAAAAATTGGATTGATCAATAAAATTATAAAAGGTACCCAACATATGTTTGTTTTTCTAGTTCAGTACCTAAAGTTTTTTTCGTTCTAGTTTGATGCATAACGTTACATTCCGTAACTTAAAATGGGTCACGCAATGACGGACCATTAAGTTTGGACGTTAACCTATTAAAAATACCACATGACATATTTTTTTAATATTAAAAAATAATTTTACAAATAAAAAAATTAAAATAAAAAAAATGTTTTAATTGGGGAAAGGCTGGTCGAAGGAACCAAAACCCCACTTTCCCCCATTTTCTGGTCGCCCTCCGATCACGTATCGACTAAAATATCATCGAACACTTTATTGTCTGCCAAAACCGTTGAACTATCATCAAAGAGTGGCAATACCGGAACCGGATCATTGAAGAACCCATCGAGGAAAGGGAAATCGAGAGGCAAATAATCTCCAAAATCACTGGTTGCCGGTTCTTGAACTGGCAGCAACGGCTTACTTTATTCCTCTTGGAGTTCTTGACCTAGTCTTTCAGGTTCGACCGATGTTTCTTCTTCACTCGATTGAGTTTGAAAGTTGAAGACTGAAGTTAGAGACAAAAGATTGCGAGGTGAATCGTCTCCCGATTGGTACCCGGAAACCGATGACTTGTCGATGTTTTCTGGTTTGCCGGTATCGTATTCAGCCAGAGTAGTGATGAAGTTTGTTGAAGCGTTGGGTCCTCGGAGCATGATTGCTGCATTATCGTAAACCAAGGCAGCTTCTTCAGAAGTGTTGTAAGTACCCAACCACAGTCGTACGCGACGAGGGGGGTCTCGAATCTCCGCCGCCCATTTTCCCCACGGTCGTTGTCGTACACCTCTGAACTTCCTTCCGTTCCCGTTCGATGAAGAAAGCTTGAGTGGTCTACGGTTGGGCTCCGAGACGTCGGCACGGCGGCTTTCCTTTTTCGGGTATTACCGGGAACGGTGGTTTTGGAAGCGGCGGAGTGGATGCTGGTCTCGTTGATATATCGTTTCACTCTCCACCGTGACAATAAAAATCGGCTTCGTCGTCCCTGGAAGAGTCCGTTGCGTCAGGGTGGGCTTCAAAGATTGATTATTTTTTATTTGTAAAATTATTTTTTAATATTAAAAAATATGTCACCTGACATTTTTTATGGGTTAATTGTCAAATTTAATGGTGTCACTGCGTGACCTATTCTGTATTACAAAATATAACGCTAAATATTAAATTAAAACGAAAAAATCCTTAGGTATTGAACTATAAAAATGGATATACATTGGACGCCATTTGTATATTAAATTTTTTTTACTACGCTAAACAATTATAACTAAAGATAAATATTGTAAAACATAATCCTGATTGAAGAATAAACATGAATAATTTTAATTGCATTTCACACATAGTTTACCAACGACTAAAATTTATTATATAACACAAAACTTCCTTAATTTCAATTTATTGTCCAAAATTGTGGTATTCTTTTTACTTGTCGTGTCCAACTCTCTACATTGAAGGATGTCAACAATCATCACATGTCATCAATTGACTATTTTCTCAAACAATAAATATTTAATTAAATACCAAACCAGTAAAAATTGTAATTTTAATATATATATTTCTTGAGTCTCCGACTATCAAAAATTACAAAATGGTCCCTCGACTATAGGATGTTACCTTGTTGAGTCCCTCGACTATTAAAAGTTATAAAATTTTATGAGGTCGGTACTGCTCGAGTATCAATACTAATTTTGGCTATTGAAAATTGAGATACAACAATGGTATCGATACCATATCCTCGATATCGATACACCAAGAACAATATCAATACCCTAAGAATAAAGAATCGATACTACTAGGTTACCTCTGGTTTTGGGCTTCCAAACAAAGAATATAGGTACTATTCATCTAATACCAATACCCCAAACCCAAAAAACTTTATATTCTCACGAGTAAGTTACTTCACTTGTAACACCCACAACCCGTACATGACCCGGATACGAATATGAGGTGTCACATTAACTTTTCAAAACATTTACTTTTACAAAATAACTAAAATTCAAGTTCACATTGAAACCAAAACTGAATAATTTACATTAATTACAATCATACGATTTTACAAAACCGATCAGTGCAAATCTTGTTCAAATCATTATTTACATGCCAACTACTTTTATTATAACAAAATACATACAATTCAATATTTTTTGATCTGATTTTCAGAAAGGAGAACCTGATATGTCTTGCCCCTCTTTGCTCCTTAATCTTCTCGGAACCTACGTGTGAAATATTTACACTCTAAGTCTATAACTTAGTGAGGCATATAAAACGTATGATGGAACTTTAATTACTTAACAATGCATGAACAATTCACACCATAATATCATACAAAGTCATATAACAATCCATATAATAATTACATACATACTATTATTATCATTATTAACATTCTTATTATTATCAATATTATTTTCATTAATTCCTTTAATCATGTGATTTTATCCTTAACACTTATGCACATCATATAATACATTTCACAAAGAAAAGCACATAACATCACATACAGTTTATTTATGTTATCTCTTTTATTTGCCCATGGTACACTTATGAGAACTAAAGATATGTGAGTACATTGAGGTTATGCACAAATACTGTCACCACAGCTCGTATAAATTTCCACTGAGTGGCATATAAAATTGTCCCGAAGGACCATATATATGTTCCGAAAGACCACATAGAATTGTCCCGAATGACCACATAGAATTATCCCTAAGGACCACATATATGTTCCAAGGGATCAAATATATGTCATGAATGACCTCATATATGTTCCAAAGGATCACATATATGTCCCGAAGGAC